CCAGGGCCTGCTACCTCAAGCTCACCAGGAAGATCAATGAGGCCGAGGAGCGGATAGACACTATCACCACCGCCTCGGCCGAAGAAGACACACCAAAGGCCGAACCGGTCGGAGACGTGGAAGATGTTCCGTTGGACGTCTCCCGGCCGGAACGCACGCTGAAGATTGGGACACAGCTCCCCCAACAGTTCCGAAGGGACATCCTCTCTGTCCTGAGAGCGTACGCCATCGTCTTCGCATGGGGACCAGAGGACATGCCGGGCATCAGCCCGAAGGTAATCACACATCAGCTATCAGTGAACCCGGCCTCCTCCCCCATCAAGCAGAAGAAGCGCTACCTCTCAGCCGACAGGAGGGAATTTGTCAAAGCCGAGGTGGCCATGCTGCTCTCCATCAAGCACATAAAAGAGGTGAAGTACCCCACGTGGTTGGCGAACGTCGTCCTCGCACCAAAACCGCCCACGTTCAGAATGTGTGTTGATTACACTGACCTGAACAAGGCGTGCCCGATGGACCCATTCCCTCTCCCCAACATTGATCAGTTGGTGGATGAGACGGCGGGGTGCGAGTTGATGTCGTTCCTCGACGCGTTTAGAGGGTACCACCAGATATCCATGCACGAAGATGACGCGGAGAAGACTGCTTTTATGACCCCGGAGGGAATTTTTTGCTACCTCGTCATGGCCTTTGGGCTCAAGAACTCCGGCGCCACCTACACAAGGATGGTAGCCCGGATTTTTAGAGCAGTCTTAGGTCGGACGATGGAAGCATACGTCGACGATATGATCGTCAAGAGCAAACAATCCACAACTCATGCCGACGACCTCCGGGGCATCTTCGAGATCATGAAGAAATACAACCTCCGGCTTAACCCGAAGAAGTGCACCTTCGGCGTCCAGGGAGGTAAATTCCTGGGGTACCTGGTCAGCCGAAGGGGCATCGAGGTGAACCCGGAGAAAATACAAGCCATTATCAACATGGAGCCACCCCGCAACATAAAGGAGGTACAACGACTGACGGGACGCCTCGCGGCCCTGAACCGTTTCCTCTCAAAATCCGCGGAGAAGTCGCTCCCCTTCTTCCAGATAATGAGGAAGGCCACCAGCTTCAAATGGACGACGGAGTGTCAGCAAGCCTTTGAGGAGCTGAAACAATATCTCGCCTCCCCACCCGTCCTATCCAAGCCCCAGCCCGGCGAGACTCTCTTCCTCTACTTGGGGGTGAGCACGTCGGCCATTAGCTCTGTGCTCATCAGAGAAGATGACGGGGTGCAAAAAGCAATATTCTACGTCAGCAAGACGTTGCGGGAGGCCGAGCTCAGGTACTCCCCCATTGAGAAGACGGTGCTGGCCATCGTCCACACGGTGAAAAAACTCGGACACTACTTCCAGGCTCACCCCGTCCACGTCCTCACGCATCAGCCGTTGGGCGCCCTCATGAGGAGCCCAACCAGCTCTCCAAGGATGATCAAATGGGCAATATTCTTGAGCCAATACCAGATTGAAATAAAGCCGAGGCCATCTATCAAAGGGCAAGCCTTGGCTGACTTTGTCACCGAGTGCACGGCAAGGGAGACGGCCGTTACCACCACAGGAGCCGAACCAGATGAAGCCTGGACCCTGTACACGGACGGGTCCTCGGCCACCAAAGCTTGTGGGGGTGGCGTCGTCCTCATCTCCCCAGAAGGATTCAGAGCATACTACGCCATTCGCTTCAACTTCAAAGTATCCAACAATGAGGCCGAGTATGAAGCGCTCCTCAGCGGACTAAGACTAGCCGCTGGCCTTAAAGCACGCCACGTCAGAATCAAATGCGACTCCAAACTCGTAGTGAGCCAAATGGAGGGTTCCTACGAGGCCAAAGAGGGGAGGATGAAGCAATACAAGGAGGCCGCTGCGGAATTGCTCAAGGCGTTCGATACCTACGAGATCACTCAGATCCCAAGGGCGGAGAACGCCGAGGCCGACATCCTCTCCAAACTCAGCTCCGACACCCCTGAGCACATCTCCAAGATAGCTAAGGTGGAGGAGTTGAGCATGTCAAGCATTCACGCTAGCCCCATACTCTCCATACAACACCAGCCGGAGGACTGGATCACTGACATCGCAACCTACATCGCCTCCGGCACACTACCTAAAGACGAGGAGAGGGCCAAACTCGCCAAACTTAGGGCGCCAAGCTATGTCATTGAGGGTGACAAGCTCTACAAAAGATCATACAACGGCACCCTCCTCCGGTGCCTCCACCAGAATGAGGCCGAGGTGGCCATGGAAGAAGTCCACTGCGGCGTATGCTCATCACATCAGGGGCCCTTCAGCATGTCACGCCGCCTCGTCGTCCAAGGCTACTTCTGGCCGACGATGGCACGCGATTGTGCTGAGGTCGCCCGCAAATGCAGCGCATGCCAACACTACCAAAGGGCACCTGGTCGGCCGGCCGTCAACTACGCCCCGGTCAGCACTGCCATCCCATTTTCCAGATGGGGCATCGACCTCGTCGGCCCATTACCAAGAGCTGCGGGCAACAACAGATACATCATCGTCGCCATCGATTACTTCACCAAATGGGTCGAGGCCGAACCACTCGCAAGCATCACCGGAGCGCGGTGTCGAAAGTTCGCCTACAAGAACATCCTCACCCGCTTCGGCGTGCCTCAGGAAATTATATCAGACAACGGCACCCAGTTTGAGGCCCAGCCGTTCCAAAGCCTCCTCCAAGAATGGGGTATCAAGCACCGTTTCTCCTCCGTTGCCTATCCTCAGGCCAACGGGCAAGTTGAGAACGCCAACAGAACCATCTTGGAGGGACTAAAGAAGAAGCTTGAAGAAGAAGGCGGAAGTTGGGTCGACGAGCTTCCCAACGTCCTATGGTCCTACCGAACTACTCCAAGGAGGGCCACCGGGGAGACGCCATTCTCCTTGTGCTACGGCTTCGAAGCCAAGGCTCCCACTGAAGTCACCCTCCCCAGCCGACGGGTCACACAATACGACCCCGAAGCCAATGAAGAAGCCATGAAGATTGACTTGCACCTCATTGACGAAAGACGGGAGATGGCTTACCTTCGGGCAGAAAACTACAGACGCCAAGTCAAATCCTACTATGACGCCAAGGTACGCTCCCGCGAATTCCAAGTGGGGGACTACGTCCTCCGCCGAAGGGAAGTAAGCAAGGCAACGGAAGGAGGAAAGCTCGCCGTCAAATATGAAGGGCCCTACATCGTCAGCGCCGTCATCAAAGCCGGCACTTATAGACTAAAGAACCCTAATGGGTCAGATGTACCACGATTGTGGAATGTACACCACCTGGTGAAATTTTACCAATGACTCGAGAAGCGGTGAAGCGGGCAACGTCCCCCACCCCTCGGCTTAGTGGTTGAATAAAACACCCTCGGCCTAGCGCCACTTGTTGAATAAAATTCATGTTTCATCCAATCTTTTAAGATTTGAGCAAGGGGACCGCATCGGCCTAAGCAGTGCAATCACCCGGGACCGATGCGACCTAAAGCCGTCGCAATAAACGACGCACCTAAAGCCGTCGCAATAAACGACGCATCTAAAGCCGTTGCAATAAACAACGCACCTAAAGCCGTCGCAATAAACGACGCACCTAAAGCCGTCGCAATAAACGACGCATCTAAAGCCGTTGCAATAAACAACGCACCTAAAGCCGTCGCAATAAACGACGCACCTAAAGCCGTTGCAATAAACAACGCACCCAAAGCCGTTGCAATACACAACGCACCTAAGGCCGTTGCGATCCACAACGCGCCTGCAAAGCCGTTGCATAGACAACGCACCCGAATATCGTATCGGCACAAGCGGTGAAACACCCAAATCGGCCGGCGATATGTAGGACGAAGGACCTGTGTGCATGGTCCGACGTCTTCAAACGGAGAAGCATACCGCGTCGTCCTCGCGGAAACCGCAGGACGACAAGCCTGAATTAAGGCCGAGGTTACAAAAACTCCACCCGTCAGTAAAATTTCGTTCAGGACCACAAAGGGCTGCCGTCTAAAGACGATACATAGCCCGGTCCCTCGTCGACGATAGACGTGGAAAGGCCAAAAAAGATGCCACTGACACACCAAGCCGAGGGCGTATTTACTCCCTCGCACTAATTCACGCGAAGAGCGTAGCGGACAAACTACCGCAAACGGACGAAGGGACAGTAACCCTTCGGCCACCCAAAAAAAAAAAAAAAAAAAAAAAAAAAAGAGGGAAGCCGACGGACCGCGCACTCGCCGGCCTCGAGCAAAAAATAAAATCCCCACAAAAACCAAAGCCTCAAAATCGGCTAAGTACATATCAGGTTTTCACCTAAGAGGAATCCGAGGTGCACGCTTCGGCCTCAACCACAGCTTCATAAAAGAATCGCTTCGGTTTCGGTTATACGAAGCTACATTCAAGTGTTTGGACGACGGGGGCGCATCGTCTCCGATTAAGAAATCCCAAATGGCGAACCGAGGCAAAAAACCTCCATCAAGTCAAGGCGAGGCGATACCAGCCCATATCTAGGTATCGCTTCGTCCTCAACCAACCAAAACGAAAGCAGCACACCAAGGGTTGACGAGGTACAACGTCCCCGGTGATAACAAATGGAAAGAGGACCGCTACGTCTCAGCGGACGGATGTCACAAGATAAACTCTTGGCACTTAGAAAGATTTCAGAACTTTGGGGCCATGCCTTACCTAAGACGCAAGGGACGTAGCGCCGCGCCGAGGAAAAGTTTCAACACTTGGTAGATTTTTGAAACACATGTTCTAAACACAACAGTTCAGACGAAGGGGCGCATCGTCCCTATTATAAGATGCAGGAAACACGCGCAACGTCCTCACACACATACCAGTGAGGCGAGGGTGCGCCCACATCAACACAGAGGAAATGATGGAACGCATCGTCTCAAAATTGGCAAATTTGCCAAGATAAAAACTGGCGAAGCAATGTTAGCCAGACGACGCGGCATCAACAAACCAAACACCAAACATAAAAGAGAAATCGAAGCGAGGAACAACATTCATACTTGAACAAAAAAGTCGTCATTAATGATTCAGAACATACAAGGAGGGCGCTTCGGCCATTACAAAAAAGGGGCACTTCGGCCAACACTAATCTACCAGACGCTACGTCTGAGACAAAAAAATGAAAGAGGAAAAGGAACACTAAGCTACATCTCCAGCCTGCCCCTGGCCCCCATCAACAGCCCCACTGTCGGCGTCATCCTCGTCGTCCTCGGCGGTTTTTGACTTAGCTGAAGTCCGGAAGAGATAGTCGTCACTTTCGGTCCATGGCTCCTTTTCCTCATCGGAGCTCAGAATGGGGCGCTGCCTCTCGGCCAATGGAAGCTTCAACTCCTCCTCAGGGTCCTTCATCGGTCTGGGGAGGCCGATACCCTGGGGCCTCAGATTCTTGACACGCCGGCGAAGCCTCCGGTAAATGAGCATTTGCATACGCCGTTGCCCAAGGTCATAGAAGACCTCCATCTCTTGCTTCCAAAAAGCTTGACCAGCCGGGTCTTCTTGCGACCAAGCTTGGAAGCGATCGGCCACCACCTGAAAGCAGAACTGGCGATGTTCATCGGCTTTCCACCCCTCGGCCATGAACAAATCAACAGCCTTCTCGGCAGCCCTCTCCGCTTCGGCCTTCAGCTCCTCGGCCTTCTTCGCCTTATCTTCTGCCAACCGGCGGGCTGCGGCCTCCCCCTCCAATTTGGCCTCAGCTGCAACGGCCCTGCTCTCAGCCGCATCGGCCTTCTCTTTAAGGGAGCTGACCTCGGATCGGAGAAGCTCCAGGGAAGCCAAGGCCTCATCGGCCGAGGCAACCTTTTTCTCAGCTTCCCGAAGGCGAGCGATCTCCTCCTCCTGCCGCCGATGCTGCTCCATCAGCATGAAGGCCCCCTGCAAAGACAAAACCGAAGTCAGACAAAAGTCGGGCAAGAAAAAAAGGGGGGAAATGAAAAAATCGTCAAGTACAAAAGCAAGGAACCTACTTGGACGACGTAATCCAACCCGCCATCGAAGAGACGCACTTCCTTGCCTTGACGACGAAGATAGGCCCTATCTTCATCGGGAATGGCCTGAAACAGGACGTCGTGGCCAGAGACTCTCTCATTGAAGAGCCCGCCCTTCGTCGGATACCGCACCGTCACTTCATATAAGCCGGTGGACAGTCCCCGACCGGAGCGAGCACCAGCATCAGTAGCTCTGTTGAAGTTAGACGAAGCGGGGACAAGGGCGTCCGAAGCCTTACCCAGCGTCAGGTCCTCAATCACCTGAACCTCCGAGGCATCATCCCCTTGGACCGGAGCCTGTGAGGCAGCCGTAGCAACATCAGAAGGAAGGGTCTGCCTCGGTTTCTTGACCCCTTGGGCCGGCTTCAACCCCGCTTCGGCCAGAGTTTGCTGACCCTCAGCGGGTCTCCTCTTCTTTTGAGCCGCAGCCTTTTTTGCGGCACCGGCCTGGCCCTTTGAGCCATCAGCCGAGCTTTTGGACGCATCGGCTTGCTGGGCAGCCTGCATTTCCTTGTCAACCATCTTCTTGGCTTGAGTCATAAAAAGCTTGCGACTCATCTCGAATCCTGCAGATGCGAACATAAAACAGAGTTAGAAACAAAAGATATACAAAGTACAAAGGATCAGAGGAAAGTAATCAACCTTCGGCATCGGCTGGGACGCCGAGGTAGGGCCCATCGGCCTCTTCAAAGTAACCAGACATCCTCGGCCATAGCCCACAGTCGGGGTCACCGGGGATGAAGTACCTCATCATACCAAGGGCGGCAATTTTGAACTCAGTGATATATTTATCAACACTCCATGGCCCCCCCTCGAGGAAGGCCTCCACTTGGGCATCAATCTCAGCACTCCTCGGCGGATCGTGCAGATTAAAAACACCACTATGACCTTGAGAGGGGAAGAAGACCCCATCGGCCAGCTTCACGAAGCAAAATTTTGCTTTCCATCCATGGATTGATGAAGGAAGATCGGTGAAAGACCTCTTCTTCGGTAGTTGCTGAAGGGCCGCATATCCAGCACAGTTTTCATGACTCCCTCGCCCGATACGGTACAGATTCATAAATAAAGCCGTCGTCGGCTCCATCCCCAACTCACCACATCGGAGGAGGAACCCGACGATGAGGGAGTAGCTATTTGGAGTTAACAACGCCGGAGGAATATCTATCATGTTCAAATATTCCGCTACAAAAGGATGCAACGGAAACCTTAGGCCCTTCGAGAAAGCCATCGGATACACCCCGAAGTAGCCGCTGGGAGGATTTAGGACGTGGTCTGTCGGCCTCGGGGCCCTAACCCGACCATAAGGACCTACATACAGTTGAGCCACCTGGTACTCACTCGGCGAACACTCCGGCTTGATGAGGTATATGTTGGTCAAATCCAATTGAGATCGGCCGACGGCCATACCTCTCCGCCGACGCGACCTACTTTTCTTCACACGCGGAGGGACGGTTCCCGGGACGGAAGAAATCGGAGGAGGACAAGGAATGGCGGCAGAAGAGGCATCACCCGCTCCATCCCCTTGAAGCTTAGGCTCAGAGCTCGCCTCGTCCTCCCCAGAACTGTGCGCACCCGCATCAGCACTAAGCCTCTCTTCGTCCACTGAGGTACGGTAGTCAGCAGTGTTTTCCATCTCCACCTCAAAGGCTTCAATCACCCGCAAATCAACCTGAGGGGACGTCTCGTCCTCGTCAAAGGGCCAATCCTCTTCGTCCAACGAAGCTGTCAAGTCAATAGGGGAGGGGATGCTACGGCCGTCAGGGAACGGCATAACAACTATGCTACGTCCTAAGGGTTGTTCGAGGATCAAAGTGATTTTTCCTAGAAACACTAGATCTAACCCCCTAGGAAGCAAAGTATAAAGAAAAAAGGGAGAACAATTCAAGAACCTAACCTTGGAGTGGGTGAAGATCCGAAGAACACTTGAAGATTTCTGGGAAGCACTTTATCTCTCTAGAAATCTCAGCAGCACTTCAACTCTAGCAAACGCAAATAGGGTAGCGGCTACGGAATAGGGAGGTATTTATAGAAAACTTCCAACGGTCACTACACGTGGCGCCACCCCATTGGCTCCACCAACGGCCACCTCTCTCCCTACCAATCAAGGGACACCAATTCAGAATCACTCAAACAAGCGCCCCTACGGCCCAACTCAACCTTACAAAGAACAAGGCATCGGCTGAATACCGCTACGGCCCAACTACTACAAGCTTCAAAGCAAGCGTCGGCCCATACGGCCGGAAAAGGAACGCATCGGCCTAACTCTACGTCCTCACAAAGACCCAGAAAACCTTAAATAGACAGCTACGGCTGCCTGTGCGCGCATCGTCGATGATAACCCTGGCATTGCGGCCTTCGTCCAAGGGTTCTCCCACAGGGTTACCTTGGACAGGTTCGCCTAAGGGTTGGAGTCGCGACCAACGCATAGGCACCGGATCGGCTCACTACTCCCTTGTGCCTCAGATGCTCTTCGGCCAAAGGAGTGGGGGACTGGGGGACTGCATCGGCCACAAGAAAAGAAAACGCAACGGCCTTAATACAAAAGGGTCTGCTACGGCTTGCCAACAACAAAGAACTGGGGATCGCATCGGCTACAGAGCCCAGGAATTAGAACCCCAAGATAAAAAAATCTAGCGCAACGGCTACGTACACTGAGAGGACCGCGTCGTCTCACCATAACAAAAACTCACAAGTCAAAACACTCCGGCCGCATGACAAAACAAAGGTGCGCATCGCATCGTCCAAATAGACAGAATCGACCATCTCCATCTCAGGAAAATAGGTCCTCGCTACGGCCAAAAGGATAGATGGGAGCTCTTCGACCCCAACAAAGTGACAATGAAAGCATGCCAACTTATCCACCAAGGATTCTTCGCACCATCTACAAAGAAGAAAAGCGCATCGCCTCGTCTTCAAAAGCACTTCCACAGAGTGTGCATCGGCCCGCATCAAGGCTATGAGTTTCCAAGCACGCTTCATCTACATCAAATAAGGAAACCGCTTCATCAAAAAATCAAAGCAGGAACTCTTCGGCCATCAAACGCCTTAGACTCCCGCAACGGCCAGCCAGAAAGGAACAGGTACTCCCTCTCGCTTCGGTATTCACCTCAGCTCAGAGAATGGGGGACTCCTGATAGAGTATATGGGCCTGGACCCCATGGCCCACATACTCAACGGCCCAAAAGACACCAGCGGGACACCCGCATCGTCCAGAGGCACGTAGCGTCCAAGAGAGAAGATATCGCCTGATTTCTATGGACCGCATCGTCCGCGGACCGCATCGTCCATGGACCGCGTCGTCCATGGACCGCGTCGTCCATGGACCGCGTCGTCCATGGACCGCATCGTCCGTGGACCGCTTCGTCCGGACTTCGTCCGGGCAGAATGTATTTTCCTATTTTTTGTACTAAGTGTTGTACTCAGCCCATTAGTGGCCTTATTCGCCCAAAGAAGGCATGATTATTGTAATGGGCCTCCTAAGCCCAAGGCTAGGGGCCCAAATCCACATTTTTACCTATAAATAAACCCCAAGGGGCTAATTATAGGGGGTTCCAAGTTGAGAAATACAATTACTCACTTTCTCTCTCTAGCTCTCACTTCTCTCTAGAATTAATACTCTATCAAACGTATTACTAAACATAAATGTATTGTAACACTACGATGTATGTTATTACAAGTTAAATTAAAAGTTACTCCGTACCATATATGATGTTAATGAAAAGAGTAAAACGTAATAATATTATGTGATGGAAATTGTGAGATTATAAAAAAAAGTTGATGGAATAGTGAGTGTTATTATAACATGGAGATATACCCTATTGAAAATTGGTAAAAACATGAAATTGTGTAAATTGATTAACTGTGTACATCGCAATTAAAACACTCTAAATAGATTGAGTTGTAATTTATGTTGAAGATTTAAAAAAAAAGTATACAAAATAAACACAACGTAATATATTGATTAATTGTGTACAAAATAAAAACATGTATTTGTTTTATAGATTATAGAAAAAAATGTATGAATATGACAAAGTATATCACACAAAAGTACGTGTAAGAATATAAAAAATATTACAAAAAATAGTGTATGAATATGAAGTGAAATATACTTATTTTATTTAGATTAATTTTTTTTTTATGAATTGACAAAGAATAAAAAACAAACTGAGTTGCAATTTATGTTCAAGATAAATAAAAGTAAAATTGCAATTAAATTTTGTATTTTGATGGAGAAGAAGAAAGGAATTGAAGAAAAAATAAATGAAGAAGACGAAGTCAATGAAAAGAAAAATGATAGACTACAAGGAAGAAAAAGAGAAAGTGTAAATACTTAATAGTGAGATCAGTATAACGAGTGCACGGTGTTATGATCTCACTTTGTAATTTGCGGTAAAAAAATACTCACTTTTGGACGTTAAAATAACACTCTCCATTATTGTCTAAAACAATGCACGGTCCGATCTACTTTGCAATAACAATAATATATTTATAATAGTTATAATAGTAATAATAATATTTATAATTGATGAGATTTCAACTCAGAGATATTTGAAATTTTCACTTTTTATTCACTTGAGTAGACAAGGCATTTTTAAAAATATTACTGAATTAAAATTTATTTACAAAAAGAATGACGTATTAAAGTTATTATGAATGTAGTATTATGGTAACTTACTACTTTAAGAATAGAAATTGAACATAAGTTAATGATGAATTTATGGGATTAAGCCAAGTGCCTAATCGGCCCAGGCTCAAACTTGGACCTGTGAGTCTAGGCCCACAACCCAAGACCATTATCTAACCAGGCCAGCTCCCCCAGTGGGTCCAGGAACCAAGATCTCAAGTTGACCCTATAGATCAAGCCCATCAAAGAAAGGAGGTCCAACGGAGTGGAAGTCCAAGACAGCCTACCAGTGTGTCAGCCGAACGAGAGGCCTTCCTTCCCGTCCAATGGGGAGCCTGCCTCCCTGCCCAGCGAGGAGCCTGCCTCCCGGCCCAGCAGAGAGCCTGCCTCCCGGCCCATCAGGGAGCCTTCCCCCGGCCCAACGGGGAGCCTGCCTCTCGACACATCGGGAAGCCTGCCTCCCGGCGCAGCAGGAGCCTTCCAACCCAACAATGAGCTAACATGCCTTCCAACCCAATCGGGAGTGTGCCTTCAGCCTAACTAGGAGGTTGCCAACCATCCCAGCTGAGAGCCTGCTTGCTAGCCTGACAGAGAGGGAGGTCAAGCGTCAGGCCAGCTAGCCAGACTGACCTGCCAGCCGGGAAGAGTAACGGTCAAACAATTAATGCGTTGTTTAATTATGTATTCAATTTCATATTAATGTTGTAATTAATTTTTCATTGTTACGCATGACAATTTCCATTTTTGGCTCTTAAGTCACATATCAAATGATTTTTATTATTAGTTGAAGGTGAATCCAATTTCACCAGAACAACCATGTGCTCTCAAGAATTTATAACAAATTTTCAAAAGATTTAAACCGAGTTTCTCGAACTATTTATTAGGTTTCCACCATCATCTAATGACATATATAGTTAAAAGTATAAATTAATCCTCCCGTGCAACGCACGGGTAAAGAATCTAGTGAAAGAAAAGAAAAAATAGATAAATAGAAAAATCAGTTTGACATCCACATAGGGTTAATCGAAGACCGTTTGGTTGAAATTGATTAATAATACGTTGACCTATTCAACATTTTTTCCAAAGTAATTAGGTGCATAGTAGGTAATACGTATGTATATAATTTTGTAAACAACCACATATATTATGAATATTGATGGTTTAATTTGTACTCTTGTTGACGAACTATATATATATATAGTGTTTGCGTTTGCTTCTATTTTAAAAAAGTTTTTTTAAGAATTTTGGAGAAATCAAAACGATGGACGCTTTCAAGTTTTGTATGCAAAGATAAATCGATCAAGTATGAGAGATAGATTAAGTTATGTATGCAAAGAAGTTTTGCATGTAAAGTTTGGAAGCTTTGGAGAGTGTTTGAATATAATAAAGTATAAATAAATGAAAATGTATTGGATAAATGATGGAAGTTTTGTATGCAAACAATATAGACATACCTTGATGTAATGAAGAGGGATTAAGGTGAGTAAAGTTTTGTAAAGGGCTCCCATCTCTTTTCGGCGCTGTCTTTCAACGTCCCTTCGCATAATCTTCCTTGGCTGCGGCGGCGGAGGTGGAGGTTGGTTTAGAAGGAGATCAAAATTCTTCATATTAGCCGCAGCTGGATTGATGGGAAGCAGTAGTGGTGGTCCTGAAAAATGCAGCAATCCCTCCTGGAATGGAAATGGAAATACGGGCGATGATATTTCTTCCATACTTTTATTAATTCGCCCCGGCCAGCCGTAGCTTTGTCGTTTGATCGATTATCAATGCTTCAGATCAGCTCAGCTCGTTTGGTTGATCCACCTCATTGGCTCATACATACATACATACATACATACATACATACATACATATATATATAGGTTTTGGTTCAAATAAGAACATGATCTTATGAGAAAAATGAGAACGAATCTGGACCGTTAGATTTGTTTTATGTGAAATTCAATGTGCATTAGATGAAGCTGTAATGTGTATTAGGTAAAATTGACATTATGTGAAGCTAAATTGTGCCCATGTGAGTTTAAATGTTTATTTTGCACATTTCAATATCATCTAATGCACATTTCGGTTTCACTAAATGCACAATCAGTTCCACATAATTCAATCCAAGGGTCCAGATTCGTTCTCATTTTTCTCCTAAGAATTGTTCTTACCGGAACCGTTCCCTATATATATATATATATATATATATATATATATATATATATATATATATATATATATATATATATATATATATATATATATGGATCGGATGGAGTAGAAGTTGAGAACTTGAGATAGACGCATTGCAATTATATACGACGATGCGCAAGTATGAAGTTCCCGCACGCGCGGTATCATATCCATTGAACGAAAGACACACTGAAAAACAATGTTACAAATTCTCTAGCTATTCACCTAAGCTACTGCTACCTCCATCCCAAAAAATAGTTTCCGATTTAACTTGACACGCTTATTAAGAAAATGAGACTAAAGTGAAAATATATGATTGTGGTTGAGTAGAAAAAAGTAAATGAATATGAGACACACAAAAATTTTCAAAAAAAAAGAAAATGAAAAGATTTGTTGAATGGAGTACGGATGGAGTGATGGAGTACTCCTAGCTCCTTGTGCTGATAATAATAAAAAAAAGAGAGAAAATTGTCTCTCATATAACCAAAAGATCATCTATTTCTCAATCTATGACTTAATCACTTTTTTTCCTAGTTTGATGCGGTAATGAGACGCACGGTCATTTGATGTTATTATTATTACTATTAATTTCCACTGCTACCCTTTAAACACACTTTTTTTTTTTAATTATTATTATTACTATTAATTTCTTTCCACTGCTACCCTTTAAACACACGCTGCATAGATAGATCAGAGATATAGATGGAAAATTTCTCTTTGCTTATTTTTCGGTTATACAACTCATGATCATACAACCATATTAATCACTAATCCTAAAAAGTAGGGCTTATCTTTACTCCGTTAGATTTCGGTAACTATTGCATTATTATATTATTTTTTATACAATCGTAAATCTTACTTGCTCTTCCATAAATGTCATACAAGGTCACTCACTGCTCTGTACGTTTTTATTGCCCTTAATAACTACGAAACTGTTTTACTGCTCTTTTTATTGGAAAAATATCATTTTATTACTGATCAATGTTATTGATCATTTTACTGTCCCTCTCTTATTTTTAACTGACCAATGTCACTACTGAATCAAAATTACTATCGCCCTATTGTTTTAATGACTAATATTACTGCACAAAAAATTTATTGCCTTCTTTTATTTTAATCGACCAATGTCACTACGTAAACAAAATTACTATGATTCTCTTTTTTTAATGACCAACTTTACTGCATAACCAACTTACTGCCCCGGCCCTCTCTTGATTAGTTTTTATTGTTTTGCATTAAACTATTGCCCAACCTCTTTTGATTCATTAAAAAAAACTAATGCCTTAGTGCTTCAAATATTGACTAATTTTGAAAACATCTATAAATAGTCTAATGCCCACAGTCCGGTTATAATGCCATAAATTTGTATCCTCACTGCACTGCTCCACTATCACCGGAACGGACCGAACGGTGTTGTCCTTCGTCTTCACTACATCTATTTGCTGTTTGATGTGTGGTTGTAGAAGACTAGAAGGAAAGAGTATCCTTCCGGTATTTTACTGCAATAAATTTTCAATCTTGGGTGCATAAATAACGTTTAGTTTCCGTTTCAGATGGAAACTCCTTTTTTGTTTAAACTCTATGAACACAAACACGTGAGGGCAATCAAGTCATTTCATTTGGAGTTCAGGAGACCGGTTACTCATGTCCAATGACTTTTTGTCATATTCACGTCAAACAAGTTTTTTAGTCATAATATGGGAAACTCCGTGTCTTTTACTCATATTGCCGTATTTTTCCCTAAAAAAAAAGAATGTAAGGTACCTCAATGCATCTATTAATTAAACAATACGTACGTGTCACGCGAGTTGGTGTTAAGTTAAGTTAACTAAACAAGTGCATTGGACATACGTACTCAACCCACCCAATTGTTATACACTTCTACCATCATACCAATCCATCATGAACATCGTATTCAGTGGCCGAATCTCAACCATTTTTTGGATGTCGAAAAATAAAGAATACAATATTTTGCGTGAGAACTATATCCTCCGACTCCATTTTGAAGCAATTAAATACATAACTTTTAAATTTGTAACATATGTAATCCTTAAAATATACGAAGTATAAAGTACCCGAAAACATATACTACCATTTAACCGTATATAAGTATATGTATACACCCCCCATAACCATTTAGACAAAATGGTGTTACCCCGTCTCATTTTATATTTCTTATTTTGGTTTCACATAAGAGTTTCACTCGATTTTTAGTATGTTTTTGTCGGGTTTTTTCTATCGATTTCGGTTCAGTCGGTTTTTTAATCCAAAAGGTGAAATGGTAAACCAAACCGTCAATAATGGTTAATCCAAAACTTCAAGGAAGAATACGAGAGAGATAAATGCACTCAACAGGCACTTAATCCGGCATGAATATGTGTGTGTGTGTGTTAACCCGGAGGACAAACCACCAAACCAGTGGGGTAAATGTCGAGAAACATTTAATTACCAAATCCTTGTGAAAAACCTCACAATCTACGCCTGGACCAAGGATAAATTGGGCACTAAACGTAATGGGATATTCATTTAGTGAAAATCCATCTGAATTAGGTTGGGACTGGATGTAGGAGCATTACACCACCTCTGAATCAGGATACATCTTGTGTCACCTCTTACATTCTGCTCCTAACATACACTTCAGTTCTCGCTCACCTTCACAACTTCACAGCAAAACAGCTTAGTCACTAAAATTGTCCAGTGAACCTTCCAGTTCACTGTGAATTAACTTCTTGATTCTATTCATCAAATTAAAGTGATCTATTTCTATAGGTCTAAATCCTTCATACTTATGTGTTAAGACATGTTCTATAGCTTACCATTGTGTTAGAGTATAGTTCATTGCTATACCTTAACCTTTGAAGCAGCAACTCATTTCGGCAGCCTGCTCCTAAAGGTTTTGGAAGTCAGCTCCCAATTCTGGCAGCCAGCCCCTTCAGGTTCGGCAGCTAGCTCTTTGAATCAACTGATTCATGCAAACACATTTGAATCTTGTTTCATCCATCTACTCATAACTACAAGAGTCATAACCTTTCTTTCTATAAAGTGTCACACTCTTGAGGTCAAGACTTCAGCCGTATGTTTCAATATCTCCCAAAAGATATTAGAAGTCATTCTGTTAGAGGAAAAAGGGTTGAAAATGAAAAGATTTAAAAGTTTATTCACTCTCCCAGACTCTTACCTCACTTGGGACCCATCAATTGGTATCAGAGCGGTTGTTCATAGAGTCAGTTTCTTAACCGGCTTATTTTGAACAAAAGATCAACCACCAATTTTCCTAAACACTTATAGTCAGTTGAGATGGAAAACATCATGAAGGAAACTTACTTTGAAGGAAAAGAAACAAAAAAGGAGATAACATACTGTTAATCAAACTATGGATCCACAAAGCCAACTCAAGGGACTGCTATGCAAACAAGAGGAAGAAGTCAATCTACTATCATGACATCAAAGGAAGATGATCATGAAAAGGTATATTCAAACACATCTCCAGTAGCTCCATAGCTCCATGAAGAGGTATATTCAAACACATCTCCAGAATATCCACAAATTAAAGCCAACTCAAGGGACTGCTATGCAAACAAGATGAAGAAGTCTTACTATTCATCTTCTTCACTCCATAGCTCAATCTCTCTAAATTATATAGATTATATTGGATACCCTATAATTCACCACAAACCATTTTGCCCAGCCCTAGACAATAGTATATATTCGTAATTTTGATCTTTATTTACTTAAAAATCGAAATTAAATGTGAATTCTTTTTCTAAACTTGTCTGAGTGACTCCGATCAAAACTTTTTACTTATCTTTTAAAAAAATTAAATTGTCAACAAAAATTAAAAATTAGGCCTACTTAATTAACTGAGTTTATAAATAAAAAAGAAGCCTGCTGACATTACATATAAAGAAAAGAATTGGCCCTAATTTTCATCTTATTTTTAGGGCCTGGGGCGGTCACCCATGCTGCCTTCCCCCTTGGGACGGCCCTATACACATTTTCTTAATTTTGACAATTTTTGTTACACTGTGACCTTGATTTATTATAAAGATTTGGAGCTAAACTTTTTGTAAATTGATGTTACAATAACTTTATGGAAATAGAAATACATTCTAGCTAATTAGATGATCCGTGCAACGATAAGGCGAGGGCCGCAGGGCGGATCCATTTATGACCCGTGCAACAGTGGCGGAACCAAGATTGACAGCTTATAGGGGTCGGGGCTTAACAAATTTATAAAGCAGGGGCCAATTCAAACTTAAATTTTCACTATATTTTTTACTACTTATAAATATTTATACATTTATATACATCACAATTTTTTTTCTTACAGGGGCTGAGGCCACCGTTAGCCTCCCTTGTCTCCACCCCTACCGTGCAATGATAAGGCGGGATGGATCCACTTAATTAGTAAAGTCACGAGGCGAGTCTCAGTTTTACATTATCTTCCGAGCCCAACCCACTGCCATGCCTCATTTTCATTTTCCGTACACTTATTATAAGAGAATGTGGAACATATATAATATGGCCAACAGATTTTCATGTAAACTTAATCTATACATTAAAAATAGTACGTACTCGCTATGCATCCAACAAAGAAAAGTCATGCCAGTATTAAATTCAAGTTTGAAT